ATAAAAATGATGAAAATAACGAAAATAATATAGAATTCAAAGCCCCTTAAGTACTGCTGAATAAAGAAGTTATATCAGAGGTCATATGTGGGATTCCCAATGACACTAGAATCAGGGCGGAATTTAAGCCAAACAACAAACTCCCTCAGAGATCAACTCTGTCGACTTAAAGGCCCAAAGGATCCAATTAAGAAAAATAATATAATCCATCAAATACCATATAGTGTCTTTGAAGTCAATTACATAGGTCCAACTAGAAGATAGTGGTCAATTAGATTATTGGAACAATAGAAAAATCTAGCTAGGCCTAGAATAATTGACCCTGTTAAGTTGAATAACCTAGAAGAAAGCTCAGACAACGAAATGAATTTCGCTTCACGTAATCACAAAATAGGGTGGGACAGGATGATGATGTTCAGAAGTAGTAGGAATTCGTGACCAGTAGGGTACAACAGGTTGAAGATGACGCAGTAACTCATCGAAGAAGACATTGCGAAATGGTTGCGCTATGTCGTGAATTGGCAGAAGTTAGAATTTATAGGCCGTTGGATCGGGTCCCGGTGGCTTAATTGTATACGAGCTAGCTCGCCTTGTAACCAGAAGGTCCTGGGTTCGAACCCCGGCGGGTGCGTACTGTTGAGGAGTACCCTAACTAGGATGAAGGAAACAGCTGTTCAGCACACCCGGTTTTTCCAATGGTTCTCTAACCAGTGTCAGCTCATGATGAAATCCTGTAACCAATTAAATCCCTACAAACAATCGCTTAAATTATATTGAAATACTTACTTTCACAGTACCCAAGTATATTGATATAAGTGACATCTGTTTGTAATACTACAATCTGATACCCTAGTTCTGTTAATCAAAGTATTATAGATAACCACTAACATTTTAAGAGGATTTAAGTGTCGGTGTTACCTACTACGTATATCACCTAAGTGATCAACCTTATCATTAAGTGATTCAAGTCATTCCTAGTTGATTGATTAACTGATTGAATACAGTTAAAACCCACTTGAGCACAATAACAATAGCTCGATTGATTACCATTCAGTTCTCAATAAATACTTTCTAAACGCATGCACTCAGACAAACAGATACAGAGATAAAGGTATCAAAAGCACATGCATGTTTTATCCATGTATCAATCAATGTTACTTCTCTGAATTCATAAGTAACAGGAGGCAAGTAAAAAAGAATGAAAGAAAGAAAGTTTTTGTTTAACTGTGTGCGAATTATTGATTTAGCATAGGTGTACAAAAAGCAAAACAAGAAGCAGCATCACAATATTGTGTCTCATAAAATATACATATTTACACTTAAATTGATAATATATACATATATATATATGTCTAAGGTCAAATGAATTCATTGCATGACCTCAATGAAGCTATCAGGTTTGGCTTATCTGGGGGGTAAAGTGTCCTGATTAATTTACAATCCAAATGCTATAATATTATTGTTATTATTATTATTACTATTATTCGAATTCTCTTGAAGTAAGCATAATTCTTAAGTTCGATCTTGAAAATACTATGGAGTTCACACTGTGTCAACGAGGATAAAAACCGATATGAAACAAATGTCTTGCGGCGGGGCCATGTAAACTGATAGGAAGCAGTAAAAACTAATAATCATTATGTATTAGTTTTGTAGGGATTTAGTTCGATTGGTCGGAAGATTTCATCATGAGCTGACATCGGCTAGAGAAATACTGGTAAACCTGCAGGGGACACCGGACAGATGTTTCGTCCTAGCTTGGAACTCATCAGTACTACTCACGCACCACTACGGTTCGAACCCAGGACCTTCTGGTTACAAGGCAAGCTCAAAGACCATTAAGCCACTGGGTCCCGATCCAACGGCTAACCCATGAATTCTAACTTCTACCAATTCATGACATTCCTAAAATATGGCTTTATATAAAATTGAGGAATACTCAGTATAGGAATTTATGAAGGTATACTGTGGGAATATATATATAATAAAGGATTGCTAAAATATTTAGAAAAAGCTTGGATTACGGCAGAAATTGTATTGATAATGTTTTGCGTAAATCACCTTCAGATCCTTGACTGAACAATTAGCTTTCTACAGCAATCCATTTCTATAACCGATGTCAGTTCATGATGAAATCCTGAAATTAATCAAATCCCTGCATACCAACATTTGAATGTCACTCTAATGATCACTAGTGATTGGCCCTAATAAGTTCTATCAGGAATTCATGACCTTTGGGACACAGCAGGTTGGATGTGAGGACAAATACTCGCCGATGGCATTGGCTAGTTGTCGCCCCATTCCATGGATTGGCAGGAGCTAGAATTCATGGGCTCGCCATTCGATCTGTTCCCAGTGGCTTAATGGTTTACGAGCTAGGTTGCCTTGTAACCAGAAGATCTTGGGTTAAAACCCTGGAAGTGAATGGTTACTACTGTTGACTTCCAAACTAGGACGAAACAGCTGTCTGGTGTTCCCTGCAGGTATTCCAATGATCCTCTAACCGATGTTAGTTTCATGATGAAATCCCAAAAACATTCAAATCCCTGCAAACCAACACTTGAAGATAATTTATTGTTGTTCATTTTCATGAATTAAAAACTTGAATCACAAGAATTAATCAATTTTTCTATGCATGATTCTGGGTACTGATTTTAACCAAGCGGAAACGATGCGAAATCTTTCCCGCAAGTAATACGAATAAATCTCCCTCGATTACTTTAATCACTTTAGATGATACAACTAAATAGAAGTTATTCACTGCCTTCTGAAGCTGATGTCCTTTATAACAGTCTTCTAACAAAATTTCACACATTAACAATACGATTTTTCACGAGTTATTCGCGGATTGATATCAGTTAGAGAACCATTGAAAACCAGGGAGTACTGGACAGCTGTTTCATCCTAGTTTGGGAATCATCGGCAGTACGCACCCACCAAAGTTTGAACCTAGGATCTCCCGGTTACAAGGAAAGGTTCAAACCCCAGTGGGTGCGTACTGCCGATGATTCCCAAACTAGGATGAAACAGCAGCTGTCCAGTACTCCCAGCTGGTTTTCAATGGTTCTCTAATTGATATCAACCCGTGATCTATTCGTAAAAACAAAACTAATCCTTACAAACCAAACTATAGAAAATAATATTTTTAAATATTTGATGTCTTCGCTAACTGATTTACTTTCTTAATTTGCTATTTTTTTCCTTCACCTACCCAGTGGAGCATAGGGCTCCAAGCTGGAAGCTTGAATTTTCTGTAGCAGTGTTAATTTTTAGAGGATGGGGTTGCTAGCTTCATGCCCAACCTCTCCGCCTTACCAGTCTCACTACTGGCTTAACGAGGTAAAGAAGTGCGTCAGTCAGGGGTCAAACTCTGGACCATGTTCATGGTCGGCGAGCGTCCTAACCGCTGTGCCATGGACCCACTTAATTTGCTATTAATATCAAATATTTTGGGGATTTCTCATATAATCCTCTAGTGTTTATGAGTCTAGAAAATTTTAAAATCAACAGCTATGGATATGTGACTCATCAGTTTCATCAGTCTACTTTCAGTCAACTTGCCTCAGATTCTAATCCTGCTACACCTACTCTTGTCCCGGGCAGTCTGGTAGTTTTTCCGGTCCTCACATTGACGTGACACTAGCAGCACTGTCAATCAATCAACAGAATAAAAAAGTACAAAAAGACACACTTTGTTAGGTGTTCCAAACCTTATCACGAAACGTATGCATGCAGACATGAAAATACTCCAGCGACGAGTCTGTTTTTGGCGAATTCATTCAATTAGCTGCACAATCACAGTTCTCTATATAATTATTTTTGTATATGTATGTGTGTGAGTACAATAGTTTTGTCAAACAAGAATGCAAATTAGTTTTGGTTATTGCTTATGTCATCAAAATATTTCAAAAATGTGATACTAAATATCATATGAAAAATACACTGAATAGCCTTAAACTAAATCCTTCCAAATTTCAGACCGTTAATTTCACTTTCCGATGTAAACGAAAGTTAAATGAAGCCGTTGGTTGCTATGACCCTTGCAAAATTGGTGATACTGATAATACAAAACTAAGTCTGAAGTTAAGTGTCTTGAATTAATTCTTTCTCCTGACCTACCTATCCTGGTCTTCCCATTTCTTAGTGATTTCTAAAAAAATATTTCGTTTGACTTTTTATATTAAGAAGTTAAGGTACTCAGGCATAACCCAAACCCTCCTCTTACAGTTTGTCAACTCGTGTATTTTACCTACTCTTCCTTACTGTTCACCCTTATTCTTTCCTGGATTGCTTAAAAAAGACTATGTCATACTTCTTAGAACTCTAAAGACTGTCGGTCAGTATAACGAGTGGTATCCCATTAGGCCATATAGTTGACATTGCTACGAATAGGCACTTGATGTCATGTAACAAATTTGCTAAGGGAATTTTGTCAGACTCTGAGCACACGCTCTAATCGCAGCTCTAACCTTGTGTTTCCTCAGGTAAAACAAGAAGCCTTTACAGAAGAATTTATGCACGTACATCTAAGTATAAAAATTTCATCATACCATATTTAGCACATACTTTATATGATGAAAATACCGTCAGGTATGAACTAACTAACCTTCTTTGCACTACTAAATAAACCATTTCCCCTACCCTTACAATACCAAACATTATTGTTATTGTATTTCTTATATTTACAATCCTCTCAATTTTTTATTTTTATTTGTTTATTTTTTCATAAGTGTGTACATCATTTAAGCTGTGTGAATAACTGCTAATTTGGTATTTGCCCTCACTATACTATACCAACAGTACATTAGATCCAATAATCTATAACATGCTAAAATTTCCAAACTGAATCGACAATACTGTTTGAAACAAACTCACTGTCATTATTATTATGGTATTTAATAATCTCATTTCGTGCTTCGAATATTTTTGACTTTATATCGTAAACGTGGACAAATTCCAATGGTTAATTTTGTTTTGATTTTTAATTTTATTTATATTTTAAGTAAATTAGATGCAAAGTGTTGTGACAAATGCTGAGAATTCCATTCTGTATTATAAGCACTGCTTTTGGAATAGAGTAGACCATTATTATTATAACAAAGTAGTGAAAGGAGTTGAAATTAAAACAATACCTAAGGTAGAAGAAGAGCTTGAAGAATTTTCTTCGGTGTAAACAAACCGGTGTTTTGCATCCGAACCGCTAGAGCCTCAACTATGCAAAGTTTTCAGTCGATTTCTTTTGATTGTTTAGATAACTTTGAATGAATTCTTCCTTGAGTAACTAGTGTTCAATAAATACACACATACAGGTTTGATGATGAGTTAGTATCAGTTAGTGAACCGCTGAAAAACCTGAGATTACTGGATAGCTGTTTCGTCACAGTTTGGGACTCATCGGCCTTACACACACTGACTCATAAGAACTCGAACCCACGACCTTCCTGTCACAAAGTGAGCTCATACACCATTTAGTCAACTGGATTCCGACTCACTATCACATACATTGAATAGGTTCGCTTAATTCTCCGAACCACCTCACAGTGATAAACAGAATCAGTCCGAATCATTTTTGACTATTCTCCATGTAAAAAAAACACACCAAATTTGTACTTAGCATATGCTACTGGTTGGTAAGAGTGGTTGAAAACCACTCACACTGATGAACAGTATTCCTTGCTAGCTGTATAACAATGGTCCATCCAAAACACTGGATGGTAATTTTGTTTATTTGCAGTCAGGGTGATCAGAGGTGTATTCTGTTCGATCCAACTCAGAGAAATAAATTAGTTCAAACTACCTGAAATCTAGTTAGCTAGTTAATTGAAGTAGAAGCACATTCCTCACTTGAAAATCACACACACACACTCACACACCGTGGGACGAGTCCAAGCCTAGAAAGCCTACAAAGCGATCACATCACTACCTATCCCAAAATCAGTCATCTGCCTACAAAGCTAACATACCACTACTAATATATCCTTTGTCATGAATTCTTATAAATTGTTTAGAAATGTCTATCTGGCAATCATTGTTTAGGGGGTGGGGGTGAGGGAAAGCAATTGGTAGCACCGTGAAATTTCCGCTTCATGCTCTAAAAATAATGATTGTGAAAAATGCTATTAAAATTTGTTTACCTAATCATTGTCTGAAAACATTATTACCATCAAAAGTGCAATAAAATAAGTATTATTTAAGTATCGTCTCAAATATTCAAAATTATTACGTAACTCACAAAATACAAGAGACTGAAATACTTTCCTTAGCAAGGATTAGATTAAGTCCGATTACATCAGCCGTCTTAATTTTCGACTGTAAAAAGTACTGATCAGAAAATTATTGTTAAAGCTTAGTTGACACTCAAATTCCGAACCTTTATCACTAGTAATAAACAGCACCGGCTTAAAATCATATTCGCATGAGTCTGTATGTAGCTAAGTAGAAATGGAGGGAGAGTGTTGAACAGACTCAATTATCTGAGCTAGATCAAACCTGGTACATTGCTAATGAGCTCAGCACGAAAACTAAAGAAATATCCATCCAATGTTCAGTATGCCTGGCTAGAAAGCAAACACTGCAGGATGGTAGCAGTGGTATCCAACGAATCATATTCAGTAAATCAGCAGTATACGGGGTGGTACATTCAATCACTGCCTTTATTTATTAAAATAAAAATCATAGACACTGAAATAATAAAACTGGGTTCTGATGATTTAAGATAGTTGGAGGCAATCGGTCACAGGAAGCCTTGGCTCTAGGTTTCATGCTAGTTGGCCCTCATCAACAAAGAACTCATGTCCCTTCTGATATTCGAACCTGTGTCACCAAGCGCTGCAGTCGGAGACGTTACCACTGAGCTATTCGGGCTTGCGATTGGTGGTTCTACCTAGTAAGCATGTAGTAGGATAAGAATTAGCAAGCTGAGCAAGAAATTCTGTATTAGGTGGGCAGTAGCGCATCATTCATTTGTGTGACATCTGGGCACTACGCTTCTGGATTGGATTGTGAAACGATCCAGTGGTTAGCATTTTGGGTCCCATGACTCAACTTATAGACAGGCGGACTGTTGATTCAGAAGACTCTGGATCGAAATCGGCCTGAAATCAGATCTTCATTTCTACAATCAGTCACCGCCGATTAAATCGATTAAATGTGTACAGTGATTAAAAATACTGAAGTCGGAGAGAAATTTGAAGGAGGTTACTTCTTCCTCTTACCTAAGCGGCATAGTGTGAACCACAGGCAGCAGCAGAGATGATGACGTCAAGACCACTTAAGGTCAAAAAAGCATGATTAACCTTCATTTATCTGAAATCAATGTAGAAATCTACTGCATTCAACATAAGCAGTATGTTTCCAGTTTTGGGTACTAATGGTTCAGAGACTTGGCATGAACGTCATGTAAATCATTTCCGACAGGCTACTGTTGACTTTCATTCGATCCTAAAGATCACATGGTCAATCAAAAAGAATAGGCAACACCAATCAATAACTCGTTACTAAAAAACAGCATGCACAAAGAAATGTAGATGGTATCAAAACACACTAAGAAGACGTTCAGGTGACATCAAACCTATCAATCAACCTATCAAATCATAGGCCCTTAAGGACAGCCACAGGAAAATCACCCTACATAATATGAAGGACATCTCAGAGGTCACTACAAGACTCTTCGAACCTTTAGGAATTGACGTCTCACACAAACCAACAAAATCACTTCACTCAGTTCTATGTCAACCAAAAGCCTCAACAACAAAAGAAGATAAAACCGACATCATCTACAAAATAAATTGTAACAACTGCGAAAACACTACATTGGCCAAAGTGGACGTACCCTTCGTCTTCGTATTCACGAACATAAGCTAGCCGTCAAAAGACATGATATCCACTCCCTCACTCATATCACACGCTGCATACAGACAACCACGGACATCAACTCGACTGGGACAACCAATGTTCAAATATTAGATAGAGGAAACAACAAGAATGCTAGAGAATTTTTAGAAGCCAGCCTGGTATTCCAGTGAATCGTCAATCAATAGACACATCGAGATAGACAATGTTCACCAATCGATAAGAAAGAAATTTCAGACACAAAGGGTCAAAGTTCAAGTCAAGGAAACAATCAGTTCTAATGCAAGCAGCCCGGAGGGAGTGAAAAGACACAAAAACAACCAACCATATTCAAATCACCAGGAGAGATGATTAATAAACTCGTGGAGAAATCTAAAAGCTCATTTCAACGCAAATTGAAGTATTCGCTGAAGATTTCGCCTAGTAGGATTGTGAAAGCTTCGCAAAATAACTATTCAGCTCAGAAAACACAACCATATCAAAATTGTGCACCTGAGCTACAAATCGTCTCTATCATATCTAATGAAATCTAAAATAGGAAGTGGTAGGTTGAGTGTTTTCAGGTGACACTGTAAAACCAGCTGAAGAGAACTTCAGCAAACAATCTGAAACATGAAAGTGTTCTGCTGAAGCATCAGTAGCACAGCGGCAGAATGCTCGCCGACCACGCCAAAGTCTGTTAAGGGTTCGATCCCTTGACCGACACACTGCTTTACCTCACTAAGCCTAGTAAAGAGATAAGGCTTGACATGAGGCTAACAAACTCATCCCGTAAATACTCACACTCCAGGACAGTAGCTTGAAGCCTTAGGTTCCATTGGTAACGTAAAGGAATAAAAAAAGAAGTCCCATATTCTCCTCAGAACCCAAGGGAACAAATAAGTACAATCATAATACATGTAATAATTAATGTTATGCAACAAAATAGTAATAATAATCATTTAAACTTTATGAAAAATATATATCTGAATAACACATGAACTTACTCTTTATGTATCTTTTAATATACCATAATCTATAGACAATAATAAGACCAGATATTTCAGCAAATGTAGACGCTGTATTCGCTTGTAAAGTCAAATGTATATAATTGCACAAGTCAATAACTTTAACGGATTCGCTTGTTATTCTTGATGGATTAATTGCATGTCGATAAATATTGTAGATATCCAGAGAGAAACAGACAATACAGACAAGTGCATCGATAAGAAATAATAACTGACGACCCCATTGACGTATACCCATAGCCCACATTTTAAATGGTACTTCTACAACAAATAATGTCAGCGTGAATAGACTAAAACATTCTAGTGCCAGCTGGGCGTCTAAAATCATTCGTTGACTGTTTCCTGGCTGTCATAAAGTGGAAAAACAAAACAAAAAAGGAAAAATTACATTAAAATATTTATTGATTTCTAAGGAGTGATTCATAATTAGTAGGAATAATAGAAAGTAAATAATCTCTGATGTGATTCATACATATAAATGTTTATGTATATATAACTCGCTTTCTTACTTTTCATCTAACACCTCATATTTTTAGTTAGATGTTGTTAGTTTAGAGGAGCAATTATAAGTGTACTTGCTCTTCGAGTTTTGTCTAACGTAAGGTCAAGTAAAGACTAAGCACAACTCTCAATACGAATGCACGACATATAAATATACATATATATGTATATAGAATTAATTAAACGTCAAGGTTAGAAATGTTTCATTATAAAGTTTAAAAAATCCTATGGGAAGTCCACTAGGGCTCCTTTTAGCAGATATTTATATGTCATACATTGGGAATTTGTCGGAGGATTTAATCGAAAACGTGCCACTTTATAGAAGGTATGTAGATGATATTGTAATCATCAGTGATAAGTCTTGTTTTGCCACCTCATTTCTAAATCGAAAGAATGAAATTCAGAATAGCATATCACTAACATCTGTCCGCAGAAGAGGAGGATAATTGTTTAACTTTTTTAGACATATTGCTTAGTTGATGGCTGGATGGGTCAATAAAAAGATCTATTTATAGAAAACCTACCTGGACAGGACAGTATCTTAATTCTCACAGTTTCTGCCTGCCCTGTTCGACACAAAAGAGCCTTAGTGAGCGAAAAGCCTCTTCAGTAGAATCCAACGAATATGCACTGAAGACACAAACTCTGGTTGATAACAATTATCCAGACAAGTTCATCAGGAGATATAAAGTAGTCAGAACATCAACTCCAACTCGCCCATAAAAAAGACGTGTACTTCAAGTTACCCTATATGAGCGATCATAGCAGCTTGATAACTAGACAAAGACTGAGTGCTGCTGTTAAAAAGACTTTTTATGCAGCTAATATCATAATAATAGAGAATGTAAAGCCAATATATATATCTAAGCCCTTAGAACATGGGAAAAATGATGTCACATCCCACTGTATTTACCAATTTGAATATACATTCGGACACGCATACATATGAAGGACTCATCAATCTCTGCAAGTAAGGGCTAGCTTCAGAGCATATTCCTAAACAGGAGACCTGGCTCTTCTATTGCGAAACATATTATAGAGACAGGTCATAAAATTGATATTAACAGATCTTTTAAACCTATCTATAAAACGTGTTTGCGGCGTAACCTAAAGTTTGTGGAAGCCCTAGCTGGCAGTTGGAAAGTTCAAGACACCTTTATGCGTTCAAAAACAATTTGTCATCACACTAAACCTTCCTTGGTAAGCTTCCTTTTGATACCAGTCAGAGTAGATGTACTATTACCTCTGTTATTTGGTTTTGTGGTCTTCATTGTCATTTTGACCTTGAATATGTCCTTTTAACTTGACCTAAGGAATGTATTTTCTCACCTCTTACCTCTTTATTGATTTCATAAATATTCCTATGACAAGTCCGTGCCTGCTGGATCAGATTATTTGAAATGTGTTGCGCTAATACACTACACGATTCAGACAAATTACGTCTTCTTACTGCTTTATTTAAAAACTCTTGTTTGTTTGTTTTTTCATTTGACCTTCACAGATGGCATATTTTCATGGAAGACTTTTACTTGAGTTACGACTATAATTTACCACAGATTGTGTGATCCGTGTGTCTGTCTAATCATCTCAATGTATGTAATGCTTTGGAGATAATTACATTTTTTACGGCAGCTGTCTTTGCTCATACGATCATGTGAACGATAGTTTGAGAAAAAAAATCGATAAAGAAGTGTATTGGAGTAAGTTATTGTTGAAAATATTTGATTTCAATAGAGATAGAAAGACCAGATTTGCAGTTTAAAATGACAGAGCCAGGAAGTTGTGTTCGCCTAGCAAGATAGAAGAAGAATTAAGCTTTGTTGAAAAATGCCTTAAGGGAAACGGGTATCCAAAAGGATTTATCCTAAAGTACACCAAAGAAAGAGATGAGAAAGAGAAGTATCCAACAGTTGAAAAGAAGAAAGTGTTGGCTTGCCTCCCATACAAAGGAGAAACAGTATCACAAAAGATTGAAAAGAGGATGAAAGGAGCAGTAAAGAGATGCTTCCCAGCAGCCAGTCTGGTGACACTATACAGTACCACATGCTCTATAAGCCAATCGAGAATGGATAAGTACCCTGCTGATGTTACCTCCAACTGCATTTATAAATTTACGTGCATCTGCGGCAGCAAGTACATTGGAAGGACAGAAAGAAGGGCTTCTATCTGGTTTTTGGAGCATATTCCGAGAAACTTATGCTTCAAAGGAAGCAGATATTTACAAAGTGCAATTACCAGACACCTTGTAGATACGGGTCATTTTGTCAAGATTTCCGAATCCTTCAAAATATTGAACATACAAAGGATAGCGAATCTACTACGATTTGTTGAAGCAATTACAGCAATCAAACGTCACAGACCAAACTTATGCACACAGAAAGAGACCGTAGCCAATCTCTCACTCCCTTGGTAACCACCATATCACTTTCATTTCACTGATTAGTCATACACACTAGTGAGCTCAACTCACCAAGCAAGTTTTCAAATTGATGAACTTTGACCTTCTTGAGCTGCCATGTTGACACTGTTTATTGGATTTTTCTGTCTTCTCTCACTCCCCTTTTTCTTTTTCATAGTTTGACAGTACATAAATTGATGGCAATTTAAACTATAAATTGTAATACTTATATTCCAGATGCGTTCACCTTATAATGTTTTCTCTATTACCTTTCAAACAATGAAGTTTGAAATGTTATTATTTATAACTATTGTAATTTCAGGTAGTTTGCAGTTAGCTGATTAGAACCTGTGAAATAGAATGATGACATCACATTTTATACTGTAAATCTGGTCTTTCTTTCTCTATCGAAATTTATCAAGGGAGCCAAATGTATGAAATATTTGATTTTTAATTGTGATTGTGCATGATGAAAGAAAAGAAACCGGAGTGAAGCATGAAGCTTTATACTTCTTATGCATTTGTGTACTGAGTGAGGTTCGAATTTGCAGTAGTAATGACCTTGTCGTCGTTTATACAGAGTACGTTTACCAGCCTCATGCCTGACCTTCCTTCTTCACTTGTCCTACTACCGTCTAAGTGAGATTTAATAGAACTTTGGCCTGAAATCGAACCGCGGGTCAAATGGGTTATTGGTAGGTATTCTATTAATGAATCCCTGACACATGGTCTACTGCAGTAGACTAGTATAGCACCAGTGAGATTTGAGTAACCAGCTCACGTCTTTTTAAGTAGTCTATGAACAATTTTGTATCTAAAAATAATATATACATAGAATCAATCGTGGATACGTGGGAAAACTTATCGATTGAAACGTTCAGATCCACTCCAAAAGTATGCTGGATGTATGTAGAGGACACATCCCCCCTACTTAGAACACGGGACATAAATAGTTGCTTTCGAATTGGAAAATCAGGAAGGAGAGCTTCTAGTGTTTGACTGTAGCGCAAAAAGGAATGAAAATGGTAAGTTAAGCACTCTAGTGTGTTTACAGGAAACTTAAACATTCGAACCGATATTTTGATTTCCGATTATCCCATCCTATGTCAGTGAAAATAGGATTGGTGAAGTGTTTAAGTGATAGGGCACAAAAACTAAGTAGTACTAGGGAGAGTCTAAGATAGGAAGCGAGGCGTAAACGAGAAGCTTTGAAACTTAATAATTAACCTGATAAATTAATCAGGATTTATGTGGGAAAACGTAAAAATAAGATTAATAATAATGATAGTTATATTGATGATAATATTAATAATATTAATGGTGAAATGCATGACAGACATGTACAGAATAATGAAATATAAATCATCAGTAGTACTTCCATAGGAAGAAAGAACCTCGGAAATTTTATTCAGAATTCTCAACGATGCAGGAATAAAAGTGGCTGGCATTCTAATCTACAAACTCAATTAGAGACAAGCTTTATCGGTTAAAGGAACCTGAGGAGCCAGTTAAACAAAACAATTCAGTATATCTAATACTCTGCAATCTTTGTCATGTAAAATACTTAGGTCAAACTAGTAGAACAGGGCCGGTGAGTCAGACTAGCTGAACATAAAATCCCAGCAGCAATATCTAGATTAGTTGACCCGAATAAGATGAGAAATCTAGAGATTAGTTCAGCTATAGCAAGCACTACATGCAGTTACACACAATCATACAATAGGACGGGATAGGGTGACAGTTTTAAAATCTAATGTCACAGGGTGAATGGAGGGAGGGATTGATAAACTGCAAACACGTGTTTAGTGCGAATGATTCAACACCTGTCCCAGATATGTGGAAAAGTCTACTACTCCAACGATGGCGAATAAGAGAAGACAAAGAAAATTATAAAACTCAAGTTTCAAAGTTGTATGATTTTAATTGATGCAATGATAGTGAACAATAGATTTTGTTCGAAAAGTCATCCAGTAAATAATAATAATACTGTTTCACTGACTGTGTGATACATCTAATAAACAAACTAATATGGAAATACTTACTACCGCAGTGGCCAAGTTTTACACATATATTAATAAGTTCTACATCCATCCATCTATTTCAGGTTCTATATCGATTATAATGATAGAATGATTGTTATTCACAACACTAGTGATTTTTAAAATGAGTAAGAGAGAATTATTAAGATCGAAATTCCAAAAGTGATTTACAATTACATGGTTAATAGATTATGTTCTAAACTATATGTATGTGGTAATATGTAAAATGTTTATACTAAACTGAACACCAATGCAGAGATAAAGAACTGTTGTTCAAAACAAATGATAAGCCTGGTGTAAAAAAGTTAAACATTCTGATAAAACTGGAAATGAAAAGACTAAATGTTTTATATAATCAAAGATTTTTGTCATGTAAAACCCCTTCTAATTTATGGAAACTTTTCAAAGAAATTACTAACGGTAAGCGATGTATTTCTGTTCCATCTCTTAATGTTGACACTCTTAATAAATCTTTCATACGCTCTTCTGTTGATACCCTTCCAAATGATACAAATCATATTGACAATAACTTTAGTGGTTTTAATACCCTTGATGTGCTTAAATGTCTCCGGTCTCTTAAGCCTTCTCAAAGCCTTGGTCCTGACGGCATACCTGCCATTGTCCTCAGGAATTGTGCTGATATTTTGTGTTATCCTCTTACTAACATTTTTAATGCTTCTTTTTCCGGTAACGTTCTACCTTTTGCATGGAAAAACATTAAAATTATCCCTATACCAAAACCATCTTCTGGTTCTGATATTAAATTTCGGCCTATTGCAATTACTTCCCCCTTTTTAAAATTGATGGAAAAATTACTTTTACTTCGTCTTGAACCCGCTTTGAAACCTTTTAATGATCCTAAACAATTTGCATACAAACATGGTAGAAGTACCTTGGATGCTGCGGTTGTCTTATATCACAATGTTGTCTCTTGTTTAGACAAAGGTGCTAAATATGTTCGTAGTGCTTTCTTAGACTACACATCTGCTTTTGACTCTGTACCTAGGGGCCTTTTGTTAAATAAGCTATCGTTGACACAAACAGGATCCTGGGCTAAGAGTTGGTTGCATTCCTATTTTTCTGATAGAATGCAGTATACTGTATATAACGGCAAATCTTCTTCTACCTCGCTTACAAAATCCGGTGTTCCACAAGGTGCTGTCCTCTCTCCTTTTCTTTTTTCTTTCTTCCTACATGACCTGCCTCATTCAAACGAAACTAACTTTGTCAAATATGCAGATGATCTGACTGTATCACTGCCTATCACTTCCGAGTCTGACAGCTCCAAACTTAATAGCTTTCTGTTGGACATCAACAACTGGTCCAAGTCAAATGGTCTTATATTAAATCCTTCCAAATGTCAGGCACTTGACTTTACTTTCAAGCATCGACGTGACTTACTTGAACTAGTTAGCTCGCATGATCCCTGTAGCATAGATGGCACGGAAATTGAAACCAAATCAAGCATTAAATACCTTGGATTAGTTCTTTCCTCTGACCTTTCATGGTCATCACACATCTTATCTATCTCTAAGAAAATGTTTCGTCTTACCTTCTACATTAAAAAGTTAAGACAATCAGGTATCAACCAACCTTTAGTTTTGCAATTTTTAAACTCCTGTATTTTACCTATTGTACTCTATTGCTCTCCATTAATCTTTCCTGGGCTTCTCAAAAAAGATTATATCATATTACGAAGAGTATTAAATGCTGTGAGTAGAGCTTGTGGTCTGCCACTGCATGAGCTCGCTAATACTATAGTCGAGAGGCATATAAATTCCTGTACGAAATGGGCAAAGGCTATAATGTCAGACCCTCTGCACCCCCTTTATTCACACCTGTCCCCTTGTATCTCATCAGGTAGGACGAGAAGTCAATATAAAAAGTTATATGCTCGTACCACTAAGTATAGAAATTCTACAATACCCTATTTAGCCCGTACTTTATGTGACGAAGACTCTGTTAGACGTGAAACTTACAAGTTACTATGTAATTAGCACAGTGAATCGACCCTTTCATCGTTCATCTTTCTGTATTTTATGGTGTCACACTTTCTATCGTTTAATCGTTACTCTGCTATTTTATTTTAGTTGGTATTACTATTATTACTACAATTTTGTACTTTATGCATATTTTTCTCCGTATGGCATACAGTATTTTGCTACGTAGCTGCTATAACAATCGTTTTATTACTATTATGTAATGTGTATTTTTAATTTTTTTTGTCGTTTTTGAGTAAATTAGATGCAATATTGTACTGAATGCTGAAAATTCCTTGCTGTATCATTAGTACTGTTTTTGGAATAAAGCAAAAATTATTATTAATATTATTATTATTTTCCGTAGTTGGTTTGTAAGGATTAGTTTTGGTTTTACGAGTTGATCACGGATTGATATCAGTTAGAGAACCAGTGAAAACCAGCTGGGAGTACTGGAGAGCTGTTTCATCCTAGTTCGCGAATCATTGGCAGTACGCACCCGCCAGCAGGGTTCGAACCCAGGACCTTCAGGTTACAAAGCAAGCTGGCTCGTATACCATTCAGCCACTGGGACCCGATTCAATGGCTCATAAATTCTAACTTCTACCAATGTTACAAAGTATATTATTTTGAATGACAACGAATGTACAGTAATGATTTCCCATGAGTCATGTTCATATTAAGGTCCATTCAAATTGATTATAAACTTCAGATGGATTAGTGATCATGTCGAGGATGAGGGTAGAGAAAAAGGGTTTTTGGGTTGGAAATTTATGTGTGTTGAATGCGTGTCAGTGTTTTAGTTAATTCATATGTAATGACAAGAGGTGAAGAAATTTACATGTGCAGGATGGAGGGCCATAACAAAGGGCTGATGTAATAAGGTATTTACGAATTTTCAAAGTCCACAGCAAGCCCAGGCAGTAACAGTGATTGGACCTATTTCTTCTGCGCACAGTGCACCCGTTGTCTCATGCGAATCGTAGCAGCCTCTGCTGTTTGGAGTATGCGGTACCTAGATGGTTTTTTGGCAATTTGTTTATTATTATAATTATTTCCTTTAATTCCTGGAGGAACGCGAGGCTTCAGCCATAAGTCTTCATTGCGTTCGATTCTCTGCTAGGGTTTTCACCTGGCTCCAAGTCTGGTCACATATTTTCACCTCCTCTGCAAATAACCTCTTTCAAATCACCCTTGGACGACCAACTAGCCACGTCTCTTTCGGGTCCCACTCGAGCAATGGTCTAGTGATGTCATTTGATGGTTTCCTCAGAGTATGGCCGATCCAATCCACCTCCATTTCATCCTGCTTATTTGTTGCACAAATGCTTCCTGCTGTTTTGGGTTCGCCTCCAGAGATCCCTGTTGATGATCTTTTCTGACCGGCCATCTGATCATGAGTATAGAGCGTAGACAGGTGTTGGTGAAAGTCTGTAGTTTGTTTGAGGTGCTCTTCATGACGCGCCAAGTCTCTGATCCCTATAGTAGCATTAAAATCACATCGGAGTTGAAAATCCGGATCTTATTTTTCATGCTGATTGTTGTCTGCTGTTGTTGTTGCTGTCGGTAGTTTACCCAGGAATCTTCATCACCTCTGTTTTCTTTATGTACACCTAAAGTCCTATCTTTGATGCTTCTTCTGCCAACTTGTTTAGTTTGCGATAAATGATAAAGAAGGACTCTTCAATATTGGCTTTGTAGCCAGTTTGAACCAGATGTTCAAATCTAGAGATATTTATGCTTCTAACTACACCTTTATTGAACCACACAAGTAGACGTTTCCAAGAAATCACAAAAAATCAAGTTCCTAGAGCAACGGTCAATATAACTGGAGTCCCCAGGTGCAGTAAAATTGGTAAATACATTTAGAAGCAGTGGCTAGTCTAGGTACTTCATCTTTTCCACTGGAGGAATCACTTTAAAATTTCATAATAATACAATGCATTCAAGAATATAGTAGTCAAAATAACTTTGGGATTAAATAGCATACTCAAAATAATTTTCTTGTTTCTTAAACGCATTAATTACACTTACAGGAAATCGTAGAGATTCTGTTTCTAGTATAACTCTGCATAATACTAATACCGCTTCAAAACCAGTTAATCCAATAATTGATAAATAATATTTTCGCATATTGAATACTTGTCTTAATCGTTTTCTAGCTAGTGTACATTTCCCCGGTGGTGGTCGAGTTTTTACCCGTGGTTGTTGTTGTTGCTGTTGTTTGCTAATAAGGCCAGCATTAGCTTCATCCATTTTTGATGTCATATTATTGGCGGGTAAATATGCAGGATAATGTGACTTTTTGACAAATAAATCAACTTTATTTCTTGGTCTAAAATGAGAAGGTTAAAATAAGTTTTAAAATGCAAAAAATATACATATATATTATTTGAATAAGGCATTTAGATGACAAATTTCGCGAGATGATATAGTCATTTCATAGTTTCTTAACAACCGCATTACAACTAACATGGTTAACAATAATAAAACAAAGTTCATGACAATTACTCAGTTGTATAAAAAAAATACATACTAATGAACAATCATATTTAGATAGGTCATGTTGTCCATGGTAGGCGAAGATTGAAGTCTATTGTGCTGTTTTGTACACACAGTTTAGACTGCATGTGATTAATCCCCCCAAAGTGCTTCCATCAGCTTCAACAACCTTGAATTAAAGCTTTGTGATGAAATAATTGTGAAACAGTCATTACTAGTGATTTTGTGACCAGACGTTAATAAGTGTTCTGCAATAGATGAGGCTGGATTTCTATTAAGATTAATCACTTTGGGATTTTCGATATGATTTAGTAGCCATTTTGGAACATGTTCTTTTCGACGACATTAGAACATTCTGTTGGTTCTACCTATATAGGTGTCACCGAAGGTGCAGGTGAACTTGTACATACAGTTTGAAGTAGAGTCCACAGAATTTCGTCCTTTAATCGTAGGAACAGGGATCGAAAATGTTCGACATTTGAGACAAAGAGACGTGGCGGCGTAGAATGTGCGTTTGATGGCTGACCGAAGTATTTCAGTTAACTGTCAACTGCATAATCTGGTCACCCTTGAATGGTAGGTTGATAAAAGCAGATAGCTTTCTTTGGTACAGAAGCTGTTTTTCGAGATGTGATCTTTCTCTGCTATGACAAGTGATATAGTGTTCCGGATAGCCATTAGCTAATAAAACTGAATGTATATGTCGAAACTCCTCCATCAATGTGTCACTCGTGCATAATTTTTGGGTCCTTGAGAACAAACATTTCACTAGGGAACGTTTATACTGGATAGGAACAAAAATGGTAAAATGAAGATATTGTCCACTCCATGTCTGTTTACGAAAAATGGATCGCTGAATCGTTCCATCATCTCTCCTAGTCAAAGTGATATCCAGGAAACCAAGTTTGTTATTCAATTCGAATTCGGAAGTCACTCAGATATTTGGATGAATATGATTAAATAGGGTAATAAAGTTTTCAATAGATTTACTGTTGTTACCAATAATGAGAGTATCACCTACATAACCTTTATATAGCGTAAATTCGCCAAGCATACCTTGCATCTGTTTCTCCAATTTCGACATAAATATATCTGCTAACAGGGGCCCAAGAGGGCTCCCCATCGCAATATTAGTTGGTACTTTTGTTTTTTTTTTTAACTGAGTAATTGTCATGAACTTTATTTTATCATTATTAACCATGTTAGTTGTAAAGCGGTTGTAAAGAAACTACGAAATGACGATATCATCTCGCGAAATTTGTCTTCTAAATGACTTATTCAAATTTATCAGGGGGTCTAATTGTTTATATATATATATATATATATCAAACCTGGATCCAATCACATTCCTGCAAATCAACAATTGATAGTCATTCTTAATTTCACCAGCGACTAACTCTGCGCAGAAAAATACCTGAGATTCCAACGATTACACTTGACCGGTAAAGAGAACGGTTATTCGCCTATAAAACTGGCCGATCGTTGTGCTATGCATATCACCAATTCGCAGGGTTTAGGATTCATGATCTGGCCATTCGACCCCGTCCAAGCGGTTGAATAGTCAACTAGCTCACCTTGCAACCTTAAGGTGCTGGGTTCAAACCCCTTGATTTGATGCATACTTCCAAAGAGTCCAAGACTAGATTGAAACAGCTGTCCAGTACTTCCTGATTTTCAAATAGTTCTCTAGTTAATGTCAGTTTGTGACTAAACTACTAACCAATCAAATCCCTGCAGACCAACACTCAGAAATATATTAAATTGTAAAAATAAAATAATGACATACTTTAAAGCAGAACAGCGTTTTATAGACTAAAATCTTGTCAGGGAACTAAAAGACTCAGAGAAGATATGATAAGTGACACCTTTGACATTAGGAATTTTATGAGAATGAATATGAAACTTCACTAATTTATCACTCCTCCAATCCAAAGGCAAAAAGAGGCGAAATAAATCTCCTTGATGTCTTCATAAAATACTGATACACTTTAAGCTTTATCTAAAGAGGTTTGTACTCAAATTACGAGAGAATAGGGCTACACTTCTTGGAAACGACAAGAAAATTCATTCTATTGTGTATGTGAAATAACTGCTGGAATGGCAAAATCGTTAGGAGTATATACTACGTGCAAACCACCACAATCGCAGGCTAAAAGACTTCATTTACAAAAGAAGACGAGGCAAACACCATCTACGAAATAAATTGCATTAACTGTGAAATACGCCCTTTTGACTAGAGACGACGTCCACTTGGACCTTCCATTTGTAAACATAGATTAGCCATCGAAAATTATGATATATATATAAATATATATATATATACATAGAGGATTTCATCATGAGCCGACATTAGTTAGAGGATCACTGGAAAACCTGGGAGTACTGGGCAGCGGTTTCGTCCTAGCCTGGAATTCTTCATCAGTACTCACCCACCGGGGTTCCAACCCAGGACCTTCTGGTTACAAGACGAGCTCGTAAACCATTGAACCATCGGGACCCGATCCAATAAGGTTCTAACCCCTGTGGCTGGGTACTGCTGAAGAGTCCTAAACTAGGACGAAACAGCTGTCCAGTGCTCCCAGGTTTTCCAGTGTTTCTCTAACTGATGTCGGCTCATGATGAAATCCTCCATGCAATCAAACAAAATCCCTACAAAACCAATACCTTTAAACAGCAGTGATACTATGAATGTTATAAAATTCCCAAAAACCTGGTGATCGAGTCGGTCTTCACTCAACAGATATGTGCACTCACATATAACGAATTTATCAATCAATATAGAAAACAAGTCACACAAAGAAACTAAAATTAGATATCAGGTCAACTAAATGCTTGACACCAATAGAAATCAACATAAGGGTGAGAACAAATTGGTAAGCTGCTGGCCAATGTTAAGGTCATCGGTATAGACAGTTATATCACCTATTTACAGTTCGAAATAATTCACTTCACATTGAAGTAGACACTGAAGATAATGTCGAGAAAGATAATGAAACCTCCTCCTCTATCCAAACACACAAATAAAGGAACAAAACCACACTACACAAATATCCACCCCTGAACTGAAACATCTCTATTGCTTCATTGATCCCTGTAGTCATAATAACACTAATTTTGACCGGTTTATGAAAAATACTCTCACTAAAAGGTTCCAGATCTTGATCTTTATGAAAAATGACATGGTAATAAAGCTCTTAGTGCTTTCTTTTAATTTTCACAAGTTACTATGTAGGGATTTAGCTGGTGTTAATTTCAATTACGAACTGAATCGTTCGACGTTAGAAAGAACTTTACATTTGTTTCGTCCTAATTTGAGAATCTTTATCGGAGCACACCAATCACCCTCATATTGATCGAACACCGAATCTTCCATTTGTCAGGCAAATGCATTCAGTATTCAATTCATTGATCTTGTTTCGTGATCTGTCCAGTTTTGGTGAGATTTTTTAAGGTCCTTTGGATGCGGTTGTCCAATTTTTGAATGAGATTTGTCGGGAGTTGTTGATATACATCATCGTCTTTGAGTATTTCTTCAGCTTTCTTGGTGTATTCTTCTCTGTCCATGACTACTGTTGTTCTTCCTTTATCGGCTGGTAGAATGACGATGTCCTTCCCATTTTTCAGCTTTTTGAGGGCCTTTAGTTCTTGAGAATTGAGTTTTGTGTGTTGTTTTTTCTGCCTAACCATTGGTACAATTGTTTGGCGTATCTCTTCCTGTGTTTCCTCGTTCAAGTTTGATGATTTGAGTAATGATTCAAGGGCAGTGAAGAAATCACTTTTCGAAGCATCTCCGGTGTTGTAGTTTAATCCTTTTTGTAGTAGTTGTTGTTCCATTTTTTAAAGTGGTTGTTTTGATAGGTTGACCTATCAGAATATTCAGTATTCTGCCACTAGGACTGAATCCACTGTCCTGAGAATCCTAACCCGTATCCATTCGTGAATTTTGGCACCATCGGCAGTCGATTTCATCAGCAGACTATTCGCCTTCACATTCGATCATTTAGAGCCCACTGGTCAAAACTTCACACTGGAACTGCAGGCAACCTTATCACGTAATTAGTCACTGGACAGCAATACATATTCACTTGCAAATGTCAGTTTTGATTCCGCTGATAACTGGTAGTAGATGGACATTTTCGTCGTCAACATTTCGAAAACTATTTTAGGTGGAATTCTTATTTTTCATAGCTATTTTGTAGAATAACAAACTAAATTTCCTAATCTTACCTTCCACAGGTAAACATTAAAAGCATAGAACAATGTATTTCTATGCGGGGATTTAAGTTTCTCCACTTCATATCACTATATCGAACAGGAAGAGACAAAATCTCCTGAAAGGTCTTAACATCTTCACAATGAACAACAACATGAAATGCCTACCTTGAAGTAGGTTGGTGGTTTTTCTTAGCTTCAAGATGTCTTCAAAATACCTCAGGACTGAAATATTCAGTAGATAAATTTCCATATGAGAAAAACAACTAGAGTAGCCTTTATTAGTTAGTATAACATTTTGCGGAATCAGATCACTCCGTAAATAGATTTCATGCTCTTTGGCAATTGTTAGGAATGTGTATCTCTAATCCTGAAGAGAATTATATCCCTTATCACCCAGTTCTGCAGTCAGAGACGTCATCAGGGAGCAATTCAGTTGATTGATTAGTAAAGTGTCACTCGTGTGGCGCTTATTAGGAATTACTACATTCTCTCTGTGAATTTGTGATGTGGTTAAGAGTCCCCTATAGTGACCAGTCAACACTACTGTGGACTACAAAATAATCTAGAAACATTGTCTTGTATTTCGAAGGCAAGCACAAAGGACATACAAGTCATAAC